CAAAGTAATTAATGTGCTGACATGTCCTACTTGGCTACGGCAGGGATGGATTGCAGCACAGAAGGAACTCATGGCAAGATGGAGTTTATGGGACAAACTGTCCAATCCTACCTCGTAGGAACTTCACTTATGTTCTTCAAGTAAAAGATCAAATTGGAAGCTACTTCTACTTCCCTTCATTTTTGTTCCACAAAGCCGCTGGCGGGTTTGGTGGCATCAGAATCTGGAGCCGTCCAAAGATTCCCGTTCCTTTCCCTCCTCCCGCCGGAGACTTCACCGTATTGGCTGGTGATTGGTACAAGACAAATCATGCTGTGAGCATTCTATCCATGTTCTTATTATTATTATTTTTTTAAAACATAGTATCAGAGCAGGTGGTATTAAATTTAAAACTTTTCTTGATACTTTAGATATTGCGACGGATTTTGGAGAGCGGTCATGATATTCCTTCCCCTGATGGGCTTCAAATCAATGGTAGAGGTTGGAATGGTTACACATTCACTGTTGATCAAGGTACTTTTTTAAAGAGAATCAACGTTTAGAAATTAGAGTTTTGCGCTTTGTGACCTCATTGTTTCCTCATTAACTTCTTTCACAGGAAAAACATACAGATTTAGGATATCTAATGTGGGGATTGCCACATCCATTAACTTCAGAATTCAGGGACACAACTTGAAACTGGTGGAGGTAGAAGGATCTCACACACTTCAGAACTCATTTTCCTCCATTGACGTGCATCTAGGCCAGTCCTACTCGGTTTTGGTAACGGCTGATCAGCCCCCAAAGGACTACTACGTCGTCGTTTCGTCTCGTTTCACCTCTAAGGTTCTCACCACGACAGCAGTTCTTCACTACAGCAATTCTTTTCAGAGAGTTTCTGGACCCGTCCCCGGTGGTCCAACAACTGAGATCGCTTGGTCCCTTAACCAGGCCAGATCAATCCGGTACTGAAAAAGGACCCACTTCTAAAATGTCACATAAACACTTTTTTTCCCGCTACTAATCATTCGTATCATCCTTTTTTCGTGTTCCTCCGTTTAAGAGAAATCTCAGAGTCCACCAATAAGACAGAAAGGATCTGAAAAAGATTGCCAATATATTTTCTTATGATTGTTTCATGAAAAAGATTGCCAATATATATTCACTAACTTTTATTTCTTGGCCTTCATTTTTTTGGTAAACTAGTTGGAATCTGACGGCTAGTGGACCAAGGCCGAATCCTCAAGGCTCATACCACTATGGACTGATCAAACCAAGCCGTACAATTGTGCTTGCAAATTCTAATGCTTGGATTAACGGCAAGCAGAGATACGCAGTCAACAGCGTCTCATATGTTCCGCCGGACACTCCTTTGAAGCTCGCAGATTACTTTAAAATCGGAGGGGTCTTCAACCTCGGGAGCATTCCGACCAACCCCACGTGGGGAGGTGCCTATCTTCAGACCTCCGTCATGAGCGCTAACTACCGTGAATTCGTGGAGATTGTTTTCCAGAATTGGGAGAACGAAGTTCAGTCTTGGCACATTGATGGTTATTCCTTCTTCGTTGTGGGGTAAAATTATGTTCATGTTCTTTGATGCTCAGTTATTCCAAAGTTTTGATCAAATCCATTGCTTTTGTGGGATTTTTTTTTCTTCTTTTGAGGAATGCTTTTGTGGGATTTATTTTGACGTTTTTGTGTAATAATTAGGATGGATGGTGGCCAATGGACACCCGCAAGCAGACAACGCTATAACTTGAGAGATGCGGTCGCACGTTGCACTACTCAGGTATGAGAAAGAGCAATACTACTATTCATCACTATTGTTGATAACCATTAATAAAAACTATTATAAAAAAGGGGAGTTTTCTGCAATAGAGAATAGCTATCAGTGCACGTTTCTAAACTTTACGTCTGTTTAAAATCACATTAAAATAAAAAGGTACACGAGATTGACAGTTTTAAGTATAAATTTGACGGTTATAGATATCCTGTTAACTCAAATTTATAGGCCGTATTTAGAATTGATTTTATTTTTATTTTTCACGGTTTTTTAGAAAGAAAAAATGAAAACGTTTTTAAAACGGCGTTTAGCGCAATAAAGACAAAAAACAGAAATGAAAATGATTTTTTGTTTTTCATTAGTCATTTTTTATTTTTTGTTTTTGTTTTCTCCTCTCTCGAGCAGAGAGAGAGAGAAAGAGAGACATTAATAGGTTTTTTTACACTGAAAATAATCTCTTGATAAAACTACCAAACACATTTTTAAAAATAATTTCTATCTGAGATTGAAAACGTTTTCATTTTCATTTGCATACAAAAAATAAAATCATTTTAGAACGAATTTTAAACGCGCTCATAGTAATGTAGTCGTGTTTGGTTTTCTGTGCAGGTTTATCCCAGATCATGGACCGCGATCTACATGGCTTTGGACAACGTCGGAATGTGGAACATTAGGTCCGAGAATTGGGCAAGGCAGTACTTGGGACAGCAGTTCTATTTCAGGGTCTTTACTAACACAAACTCATGGAGAGATGAATACCCAATTCCTAGAGACGCTCTTCTTTGTGGCCGGGCCAGTGGTCGCCGCACTAGGCCGCTCTGAAATTAATTTAGCCAGTTTTAATTGTACCAAAAACATATATTACATATATTGTCACGATAGGGTGACAGTTTTTGGCAAAGGGACTAAGCCGTTCCTTGTGAGAAATTCATTGGCGAAGCTCCACTTGAGCTTTCAAGTTATTTTTCTCCTTTTTTCTACTGTTGTATTATACCTTTGGTATGGCTCTCAAATGAACCTCTCTACTCATGATGTCTTATATCTTTATTTCAAAGTTTGAAAAGGAATAACTCTGTTCTGCTTCACAAGGATCTTTTCCACGTTTTATATGGAGTATTTTTATTGGTATTATTCATGTACAAAACTACTTCAAGTGTCAACGTACTTTCCTTGTGTTTTATTATCAATATCTCGTTTTCTGATTTTCTTTTTATTGTTTCGTAACTTCCGAAGTGTTAAGACGACAGTTATAATTTACATAGCAAGCGGCAAATTCGTTTCCTAAAACCAACTTAAAAAGAAATACTTTGAAAATAAGAACGACATGTCTTTTCGGCTTTTAACAGAAAAACCACATAGATATCGCATATCAGTCAAAGGAGTCTCTTTAGTTCGCTATATCAAACTTGCAACATGAGACATCAAATTAAGTGGACATTTAGTTTATAGATTCAGAATCATGCTTTAAAATTATTTTTAATTTACGTGTATTTTTTATAAGAAAAAATACTGTAACAAGTCACGAATTATAGCACGAATATTCATACTAAACACCCCATAAATGTCATTTATAAACTCTCAAGAAAAATGTCTTTAATGCAGTTTTGAGGGTGACCTCGGTGCTATTCAACTTACAGCTTACTTGCTCTCAATTGGTGGACTCCATTTATTGTACATGTATTATCAAAACGAGCTTTTAATTATTGGTGTGCCGATAAACTTTTTTTTATTATCCAATCTTCCTCTGTGAGCTATATTATTAATGTATTCAGTTTGAGTTGAGGGATTTATCTCATATATTGCGTGGTTATTTATATTGGTATTTGTATGTTTTGTTTTATTAGGCACAATACCTCCTTAAAAAAAAAAGAAAAAAATATAATGCTATAGCCGACAATAAAAAATTGAGAAGATAAACGAGAAGTCGAGATGACGCTTTTGAAGCAATACTCTAATCTCTAACACGAAACATATGTCGTTTTCTTGCCTACAAACTACAAAGAAATGAATGACATGTCGTACAATCGAAAACTGGGCAACTGCCAGCAACCTGAAGACATAAATTGACTTGTCGTTAGAGGTCAAAATTGTGTTTGTAAACCCGATGAAAGAACGTGTCGTTTTTGTGACAGTACAATTTGAAACAACCGGGAAGGTTTTGCTTTCAATAAAACGACAGACTATTTACTAAACGTCAGCAAATGTTCAGAAAACGATATGTCGGTTAAGTACCTATTGAAGGAAACATTTTAGTTTGGAAACGAATGTATCTAAACGAAAAACACGTCATATATTTTTTCTGCATTCTTTTAATGCAAAGGAGGACCAAATAGTAAACTTTGTACAACAAACATGTCGTTTGCCAACTAATTAATTGACCATAAAATTGTAATTTTGGGTATTAAATTCTATCCAGGCGGAAAAAAAAATTGAACAAAATGACAGTCTGTGACTAATTACCGAGGACCTGGATAACCGGTAAACGAAACTGAAGCTTTAGCTTACACAAGCATAGAACAGAGAGAGGTGAGACGCCGTTTATTTCACCGATTCGGGTTTAAAATTTGAGTTCTGCTGCAGTAAAAAATTCTCAAAAACAGTCACATTTAATTTTTTTATTAGAGTAAAAAAACTCTCATATAAAATCACATCTCAACTCAAAACGGACCTTCAGAGTAAGAATCAGAATACTCCTTTTTAAGCTTAAGGTCTCCTGGCTTTAAGACAAGTTTTTGGTTTCTAAAATTCCCAGATATATATATATATTATTCCACAAAAATATCCCCAACCAATCCCATTTCTCCCCTTTGCTTACGACATCCCCACACCACTTGTCCTTGCTTCTGCCGATCCCAACCAGAGAATATTCCTCCTTTTGAAACCGCCTCTTTCAACTCCATCCATCCTATATAGTACATTACATTTTACATATATATGCAACAACATATTATATATACATATATATAACATATATTATACATTCATACATACATGTGCATACACTTTCAATAATCCACCACCACCACCACCACTTGCTTGCGTCACCGTGCAGTGAAATTAGCCCAATGCCGGGCCACCGTGACGTGGCCGCCACGACGTGTCGCCACCACAGTGTAGCCCGACATGCGAAGCATGTCTAGGTGGCTGACGAGCGTTACCAGCTAGGGGCTTTTTTTTTTTTTTTGGTGATTAATGTGAACGGGGATAGAGAATGAGTGATGTGTGAGTTTGAAGCCGTGTTTAAGTGTGGATAGTATTTTCAGCTGGATTTAAGGAAGGTCTTTTTGTCTCCGGGAATGATCAGAGAAGGTTTGAAAAATTATAAAAATAATTAAGTTCTCTTTTTGGTATGTTTCCTTTAGGACATGCATTTGCTTAGGTCATTTTATTGTTATCTGTGCATCCTAGCTTAACGTCTGCCTTTTTAGCTTATTCCTTTTCTGTTTTCTTGTGGAAAAAAAAAAATATTGTTTAATTATGAGCAATTTTGACAAGTTAATTAATGATAAATTAATAGAGAATCTCATGACCATGAGTTAATGTTAATGGAGGGTACATATGTAAACAAGTTAATTATCATCATCAAGTGATATATATGATCCTTTGTGTTGGAGAGACAAAGAATGTCTAGGAAAAGACCCCCCCAAATAAGAATGTCTAGATGAAATGATATCGCCAAGAAACTTTTCTAAGAGATTGAAAACCATATATACTTTTATTCACTTTTTTCACCTTTCATTTTCACCCAATCATGATGAACGCATTTTTTAACCAAAAACCAGGCCTGAAATTCCGTGTGTCTCCGTTTCTTTATTTCTTTTCACAATCGAAACTCCAAAGGACTAAAAGAAATCGAGGGTTAAAAAAAAGGAAAAAAAACAAAAAGCTCAACAAAAAGACAAAGCTTCGCAACAGAGTCTTATTATTTATTCTCTTTCTGTTTCAACCCTTTGGACCTCCTCCCTCTCTCTCTCTCTCTCTCTCTCTCTATCCTTTCTCTCTCTCTCTCTCTCTGAGGAGACAGAGAAGAATATCTGAAAAATGGTTAAAGGTGATCAGAGTCCACTCAATAAGAGGTCTAGAGCGTCTTCTTTTGACAATAATATTGGGCAACACATGAATATTAATATTATTCCAGAGTCACCAGATTGTGTAACGAGAAGTAATTCTAGATCATCAGTAGAGGGAAGTGTAGATCATGATGACCATCATAATCTGATGATGACAGAGATAAGCTTGAAATCTCCTGTGGTCAGGCCTTATGTCCGCTCCAAAATGCCTCGCCTTCGATGGACTCCTGATCTTCACCGTTGCTTTGTGCATGCAGTTGAACGCCTTGGAGGAGAAGATAGTAAGCTTTATCAGCTCTCTTACTGTATGTAATTACACACACACATATATATATAGTCGTCCAAACAGTAGTTATGATCATTATAAGTTTCAAAATAGAAGAAGTTAAGAATATATAAAGATTATTAGCAAAAAAGAAAATATAAAAGGGCAATTAATATAACTAATTAATGAAGGATTTTGATTGCGCAGGAGCTACTCCAAAAATGGTTCTACAGATAATGGATGTGAAGGGCCTTACCATATCTCACGTGAAGAGCCATCTTCAGGTTTTGAAGCAAGCCCTTCCCTCTAAGTTTATGAATCTAGAATTTCAGATTTGGGAAATTAATCTTATAATGGATAATTAGTCTTTCAAAAAAAAAAAAAGTTAATTTAATCTAACAAAAAGTTCCTTTAATCTATCCGGGTATTGGTTTGAAACTTTCATTGTTTTTTTTTTTTTCTTCTCACGTACGTACGTTATGTTATGGTTTTTCCATGGACAGATGTACAGGAGCATGAAGCATGAGAAACTGATGCAAGGTATTTATTATGTAAACACCATTAATTATATATTACTGCATGCCCTAATGGCACACACTCATGTATATGCAAAGTAAGGACCATAAATGAATATTTTCTCAAAAAATTAAACTAAAAATTAAAAAATCTCAGTACATAATTCTTGAGAAGAAGCACCAAAATTTAATAACTAGCTAGGGTTTTGGTGACGGAAAATTAAGACCTCGTTCATTTCATCGATTCGAGTTTTATTATAGTAAAACGCTATCAGAAACAGTCACATTTAACTTTTTTGTTGCAGTAAAAAGCTCTCACATAAAGTTACATCTCAACTCGAATAAGTAAACTAAACAGATCCTAAATAGTTTGAGCAGTCAGTTAATTATACATGTAGATGACAAGTTGACAACTAAGGTAACGCATAGATGCTGTCAAGGAATAAGTCTTCAGTTTATATATATTCATGTAATTTCAAATATCTTTTCTTGAATATTCAAAAAAATATATTTTCTTGAAATAATAAGAAATTGCCTTTCCATAGAAAAAAGCAAAAAACAGGTAAATTGGCTAATTACCTTAATTAATTAATGCTACTGCAGCAATGCTGGATCCTATAATACCAAGGAACACATACATATTCATATATAAACTGCAATTGTCAAATGTCCAATACATAAAGAAAGCCTTCATCATGAAAAAGAGGATCCAAAAGGGAAAAAAAAAATTATAACATTTTAAAAAAGTAATCAACCTATCTATTTAAGGAATTATGGTCCTCATTAAATGATATTAATAAAGGTAGGAAAAATATTATAGTTCCTTAGGATTCATAAAAAATATAAGTTGTATTTGTTTAAAAATTTTTCCCGGATTAACCTAGAAATTTGTATTTGTTATTTGTTTCTTCGCAAATTAAATAAAAATAGATAATTGTTTGCGGTGAGCGTGGATCGAACACGCGACCTTCAGATCTTCAGTCAGACGCTCTCCCAACTTAGCTATCCCCGCTTGATGAATGTATTCGATGTTTAAAATTTAATCAAATCGTAAAGTTATTTATTAGTAATAAATTAACTGGTCTGTAAAGAGTGGTCTAAAGTATATTTGTTACTTTTCTTGTTGCAGAAGCAGCAATGGCAGCGAAAGAGAATGAAAAAGCAAGGGCGTTCCAACATTCAAACTACTATTCATCACATTTGGACACAATAAATTGTCAACAATATGATTACTT